ACTGATTTTTATATGAACTATATTATTAAGACTAATGTCACTTGTTTCTTTTCACCTTTTCTCAATGTGGATTGTCGAAAAGTTTTTAAATCATACATGAATTTAAATTATATACGTAGTATCCGGAGTAGGTACACCCATAGAGACAGAAAGTGGATTAGTGGTTGCTCCCAGATTAGGGGCTGGAGTGGGGGCAGGGGGTCACTGCTGAAGGACTCTGGGCTCTCCTTTAACTGTAAGTAGGCAGGTACGTCACCACTGTACCACCAGGGCTCCCTTCAGGGCTTTCTTTGTGGAGTGATGAAAACGTGTCCCCCTCCTTGGTGAACGGACAACAGAAAAGTGGGTGAAGGGAGATGTCAGACAGTGTAAGATATGGCAAAATAATAATAATCTATAAGTTATCCAGGGTTTATGAGGGATGGGGGTGGGGATGGAAGAGAAAAAATGAGGAGCTGATACCAAGGGCTCAAGTAGAAAAGCAAAATGTTTTGAGAATGATGATGGCAACAAATGTACAGATGTGCTTGACACAATGGATGGATGGATGGCTTGTGATAAGAGTTGTACGGGCCCCCAATAAAACGATTTTAAAAAGAAAATACAAAAAGAAAAAAAAAGAAAATGTTTCACACTTGACAGCGGTGATGCCAACACAACACTGTGAATATATTAAACATGAAGGTGTTCCTGACCCAAGCCATGATATTCTTAATTGCTCATCCCCACGTGACAGTTAGACATTAAATAAGAAGAGCAATGCACTTGAACTATGGTGCTGGTGAAGGATGTTGACAGTACCAGGGACTGCCCAAAGAACAAACAGGTCTGTCCTGGAGGAAGTCCAGCCAGAATCCGCCCCAGAGGAAAGGATGGTGTACTTTTATCAATTCTTGGAGAAGGACATAATGGGTGGTAAAGTGGAAGGCAGCCCCAAAGAGGAAGACCCTAAAGGCTTGAAGGTAAACAAGCGGCCATCTAGCTGAGAAGCAACAAAGTCCACATGGAGGAAGCACACCAGCCTGTGTGATCATGGGGTGTCCATGGGATCAGGTATCAGGCATCAAAGACCCAGAACAAAAAATCATATCAATGTGAATGAGGGGGCGTGC